ACACAGATAAGTCGTGTCCTCAGAAAGTCAGAGGCCTTTAGATCCAAGGTACGGATCTTAGGGTCATCGGGCAGTCTGGGCTTGGGTATTCTGTGGCCTCACCCATCTCTTCTCCTCTAACCCCAGCACTTCTCAGAGCCTTCCCTGTCCCTCTTTGGCCTGGAGTGCTTCGAGGGGAAGGAGATCGAGCTGACTGGGGAGGTGCGAAGTCTGCAAGCCGAGGGCTTCAACAACCACGTGCTGTCTGTGCGCGTCAAGGGCGGCGTGTGAGTGTGTGCTCCAAACTGTGGTGGGTGATTGGTGGGATGGGGACCCCAGACCAGGAAGGAGGGGGTGGTACCAGCCTGAGGTCCCTGGCTCCCAGGCCTTGGTGGGATGCTGGATCCTTGAAAACCCCAAATGTACACAAAAGCCTCTTCCTCCCGCTGCGGGCCCTCACCCTAGTGTGAGAGAAGAGGGGGCAGAGGTTGTTCTAACACATGTGCTTTGTCTTCCATCTGTCTCTGCCTCCCTGCTTGTCTGTCTGTCTGTCGTCTGTCTGTGTTCCTCTGTGACTCTGGCACCCACTGGACACAGCTGGGTAGTGTGTGAACACAGCGACTTCCGGGGCCGCCAATGGTTAGTGGGAAGCTGTGAGATCACCAACTGGCTGACCTACAGCGGTACCCAGAGGGTAGGCTCCCTCTACCCTATCAAACAGGTAGGTAGCAGTCGGCACAAGTGCCTCAGGGGTGTACCTGTCCTGGGGAGCACCTGTCCTCACATATGCCTGTGTTTCCCAAACTTGATGTTGGTGTCAGGTCACACAGTGACCTCATCCTCTTCTTGCACGTCACCTCAGTCATTTTTCCCTAAATTAACTTGAAAACAAAACAACATTGCCCTGTCCTAAAGGACAATATATACAACATATACAGCATACACAGCATATACAACATATACAATATATACAATAAGCTTATTCACCCCAAACGGAAAATCATCTCACGCACAGAACTTGCATGCCAGGGTACATGTCCAAACCTGCTTGTCTAGAAGTTGGCTTCCTCTTCACGCACATATTTCTAGGCTGTGGCTGTGGCCTATGTGTGCGCATGTGCGTGTGCATGCATGTGAGTGTGTGAGTGTGTATGCGAACACACGTATGCCCACCTAAGAGTCTGTCTGCACCTCTGTTATTTGGGGCCATGCATCTGAATACCCTGGAGGTGGTTTAAGGCTTTGTGTGTGCAGATGTGGATGTGTGTGCGCCTGCTCACGCCTGTGCCCGAGGGCTTTCTGAGCATCTATGTCTGTGCACGAGGGCATCTGTTTAGTCTTGTTCACAGACTCTCACGGCAGCATTGTCAGAAGAAATCCTGGCAAATATCTCTAACCCTCATGTGGGGAGATAAAGGCCCAGGGAACTGGACCTTTATCCACAATTTTGGGCAAGGAGTTTATCCACAATTTTGGGCAAGCACTGTTCTTCTATGGATCTGTGTGAGTGTGTGTGTCTGTGTGTGTGTGTGTGTGTGTGTCTGTGTCTGTGTGTGTGTCTGTGTCTCTGTATGTGTGTGTATACCTATATATTAAAGCAGGAACTCACTATGACCTTCGTGGACTGCTAGTATAGCTCTAGCTGGCCTGGAACTCTCTGTGTAGACCAGCCTGGCCTCAAACATCCATCTGTCTCTGCCTCCGGAATGCTGAGATCAGAAGTGTGCGTCACCACGCCCAGGTGTTTCCTCCTCTATAAAATGGGGATAGCATTTGTGTCCTGAGTTTGTTGAAGACTGAAGGTCAATGATGACTGCAGAACCATTGGGCAGTGCTGTAGCGGGAAACACTGCTCAGATCATACCTGGGGCTTACATCATCCTTTATGTTACCGTCACCACGAACAAAGACCCTGCTAATGCTGACAGAGCCACTTCTGATCTCTGGCCATCTAGTGTCACTGTGTTTCTTTTTAGCTTTAGCATGTATCTATGCATGCATTTTTCTTTCTATTTCTGCGTCTGTGTGTGTGTGTGTGTGTGTGTGTGGTGCGCGCACATGCGTGTGTGAGTGCGTGTACATCTGTAGCAAGCATAGGTTGCTGGTATGGAACAGGCTGGGAGGATCTGTATGTCAGATATGATATGTAATAGCCACATAGACCTGTGGAATTGTTTGTGCCTTCTATAAACTGTGCCACCTTGTGGACTTTGGGTATACCTGCCAGGGTCCTTAAACACATGTGTAGATATCTATGGTTACAGAATTATGCTTTTTTTTTACACACCCATATAGTATGGGTGTGTAAAAGAGATGTGACTTTGTCGGGGAAAGTTTGGAGTCAGGGAAGGTTTGGGAGTGTGGGTCCCTTAGAGGGTCCAGGGTTGAGGGTGGTAGGGCATCCCTGACTGCAGCTTCTCAGCCTTTCCTCATCATCAGCGCCGAGCCTTTTTCCGCCTGTGGAATGCAGCACTGGGGGGATTCCTGTCAGTTCCTGATCACGTGGAGGACATGAAGGCAGGCCGTGTGGTGGTCTCCGAGCCCCGAGCTGGGGGCAGCTGCGTCTGGTACTATGAAGACGGACTGCTGAAGAACCAGGTACAGTTCTGGAGTTTGGTCTGCTGAGCCTAGGTTTGCCAAGGTGCCCTGGGAAGTCCCAGCCCAGTTAGATGCAACACGCGTGTGACCCAGAAGGAGAGTGCGAGCTCATGCATCTTCCTTATATTAAATCCTTAAAAACCTAGTATTTGGGGTTGGAGAAGGGACACAGCAGTTTAAAAACACTGTTGCTTTTGCAGAGAACCTGAGTTCAGTTCCCAGCATAAAAAATGATGGGATAGCCATCCCTAATTCCAGCTCCAGAGGATTTGATGCCCTCTTCAGACCTCTGTGGGCACCAGGCATGTATTTGTTGCACAGACATGCATGCGGTCAAAACACTCAAAATAAATCTAAAAATGGATGAAGAGACTTGTCCAGGGCCACAGTTGTAAGAGCCAGCATTCAAAACCAGTTTATGATCTGGGCAGGGTGGCACATGGACACATGCCCTTTATCGCAGCACTCAGGAGGCAGTAACAGTCGAATCTTTATGAGCTCAAGACCAGCCTGGTCTATATAGCAAGTTCTGGTGGACGAGGTTATGATCGCGACCACGTGGTACTGTGGGAACCAACCAAGGACAGACCTTCCCAGATCTGGACTGTCCAAAGCTATATAGAGAGATACTGTGTCCCAGACAAAACAAAACAGCAGCAATAACAAAAATCCAGCAAATGAAGGATTGCTTGAGCATGGGGGAGTTCCTGTCAGGAATGCCAAATCTCATGATCTTCTGGGGCCTCAGGTGGCCCCCACCATGAGCCTACAGGTGATTGGACCTCCTAGCCCAGGCTCCAAAGTAGTACTATGGGCCGAGAGTCGCCTACCTCGCCAAACCTGGAGCATCAATGAACTGGGTCACATCTGCAGCCAGATGTTTGAAGGCCAGATCCTGGACGTAAAGGGTAATGTAGGCTGGTAGGGGTTGGGGTGGGGTGCACAAAAGGGGACTAAGGGCTGGGCTGTGTGCACCACTCTCTGACCACCTCTGAATCCCACTCCCCTCAGGTGGACGAGGTTATGACCGCGATCACGTGGTACTGTGGGAACCAACCAAGGACAGACCTTCCCAGATCTGGACTGTCCGTGTACTCTGAACCAATGTCATCACCAGTTCCCTGCTGGCGGCTTTTGCTGGGATGAAATCTTTTATACAGATTTTGCTGTGAAATAAGCTATTTTCTACTATGCCGCTGGTGGCGTCTCTGCACCTTGATGTTGGGGGTGGAGAGGGTCCACTTGCCCTTCTGCCTCCTCTTCCTGTTAGTTTATCTTCCTGTACTGCCTCCTCTTGCCACCAGAGGGCGCTCCAGACCCCCACACTGTCTGGCGTGTCACTCCTTTCTGCCTCTCTGACGGTAGCCACTGTAGTTCGCAGTACACGACTCTGATGGGTGTTCAGGGAGCAGAAGTGGAGGGCTGTCCCACTTGGAAGAGGGACTCCTAGCTGACACACCGAGGATGGGAAGGAGTTGGCCAGGCCAGATAGAAGTAGCAGTGGTGGTCCATGACATTAATCCCAGCACTTGGGAGGCGGAGGCAGGGGGTTTTCTGAGTTTGAGGCCAGCCTGGTCCAGGACAGCCAGGGCTACACAGAGAAACCCTGTCTTAAAAAAAAAAAAAAGTAGCAGCGGAAAGTATTCCAGGGCTATGGATGTATCCAAGGGTGAACTTTCAGGGTTCAGTCTGTGAGATCACAGTGGGCAGGGGAAGAAAGATAGGAGAGTCTACCTTCCTGCTTCTTGTAACTCTAGTTTCAAAGCCTGAAGGTTTTGCCTTGGTCAGAAAAGCCAGGAGAAGGGGCTGGGTCCCTAGCTGAGTGACAGGTCAGAATATCAGAGACCTAGAGCTACAGTCGCTTTGCCATCCTCTGTTGGCATGGGTTCCTGGGAAGACGCAGAGGCAAGGACCCTTGGGAACCAGTCTGGGCTTTCTTCTCTTCTTGTAGCTCCAAAGACCACCCTCAAGCTCAGGAGGGGAGGTGCTTAGAGGAGCTGTTTGTCCTTCCTGCCTTCCCTGGCTGAGGGTGTGGGTGGTAACCCTTGCCTTTTCATCCTCTAGTCCAGTGATTGAAAGCATATGGTCAGGCAATTTGGAATCCGCCCTTCCGCAAACCCTCCCAGACATGGGATGCTTCTGCGTCTGTAGTACTCCAGTCAGGAATTTTGAGAGAAACAGAGACAAACGATATGTGATTTCCCAGAATCTATCAGTGTGAAGACACCTAGGTCGTGGGCTGGGCATTCCCTGAACCTGGGGTGTGTGGGGCTTGAGAGTCTAGGGCAGTACTGGGTTCACTCCCAATGCCGTTGCACACGTGCCTCCTCGGGCCAGTGATGGCGCAGTGATCACACATGGGGCCCCATCTAAGCATACGTATAACTTTATTGTCCCCTAGCTGGGTGTCACACCCCCACTCACATCAGTGTACCTCGCCATTCTCGCCATTGGCTGTCAACTGTAACCTCCTTGAATCTCTGGGGTCAACCCTTCCCACAAACCGGGTTGGGGTGAGGAGCATGGGGCTTTAGAAGCCAAGCCTCCTCAGCCGAGGTAGAAGAGGCACAGTAAGGTACTGGCAAAGAAGAGCACACTGCAGGCACCTGCATTGATGATGGATGAGGCCCCCGCCTTTGGGGGTTTCCCAGGGGTTCTTTTGGGGGGGGGCGGGGGTGGTGGTGGCGGGGGGGGGAGTGTTGGGGTGGTGGTGGGTGGTGGCGACTTTCTTAGCAGTAGTAGCAGCAGCTTTCTTTGTAGTAACAGGTTTCTTAGAAGTAACAGCTTTCTTAGGAGTAGCAGCTTTCTTAGGAGTAGGCACAGCAGTAGTAGCAGCACCAGTAGCACCAGTAGCACCAGTAGCACCAGTAGCAGAAGCCGTAGAGTTTCCCAAGACTCCTGTTTGTATCTGCAAGAGAAGCGGTGCACAGTAGGGTTCGAACCTCCTGTTGAGGACTCGTCCTCCTTTGTTGCCTTTCTTCAACTCTAGGCTGCCGTAGGCCCTGTTGGGATGTTTGGCTTCCTGCCCTATCACAGGCAGTGGACAGGCAGCCCCTGTGTTTGTCATTTCTTCCACCACAAAGAAACTTCCTGTCACTTTTGAGACTACAGATCCTCCAGCATAGAGGGAAAACAGAAACCTGAACATGGGCTTCCCCTCCCAGAGCCTTGGTTTCCTTGCCTCCTGGTAATCAAGAGTCCAGCGTGGTCGAGAGTGTCACACGTAACAGGCCTAGAATACGGCCCCTGGCAGAGGGTGGGCTGGAGGGCAGGGTGGGAGTGGCAAGCGACAAGCTGTCCTTGATGCTTGATTGGGCAGTAACTGAAACTGCCCTTGATGGGAATCAAGCTAGTTTTGGTGGCCACCAACCTGCCTTTGATGTGTGGTCTAGATGTTCTTGATCAAGAACTTGCTGGCTCCATTCGCTGTGTTCATCTGGCCTCTCTGTGTACACAGGGCCACTAAGGCTGCCTCCCTCCCAGGGTGGCAGTTGATTTGCAGAGTGTATGGGAGACTTCTGTCTCTGCATTCCTGCACACCCACGATTCACTATGGCAGGGGACCTTCTGTCATCACCTATGTCGATCTGTTAGACCTCTCTCCAGCCGTCTCAAAAAGAGTTCTTCTCAGCTGGGCTTATGATGCAGAATCGCACAGAACCCTTTGAGTACCTTCATGTACGCGACACCCTATAAGGTTTTCCTCTCTGAGGCCAGTCTGATAGACCTATGAGGAGTAGCAACCCAGACATATAGGCCCTCCTCGATCCCTGGTTTCCGGTTGGCGATCATCTATCTCTGTCACTGCGGTAGAAGACAGCCCCCCTCCCCCTCCCAGGAACCTGTATTCCTTCCCCAGATCCCGGGCCAGACCATCTTGCTGAGATCTGGTGGTGGCTGTAGGGGCTCTAAGGACTGTCCTCACCTGAACCACAACCAGGAGACTGATGGTGAGGAGGAGGAGGCCGTTCATCCTGGATCTTCCTGGGCTCTTGTAGCAGCTTTGAGAAATGAGTTCAGGGCAATCTGCAGGCCACTTTGAACCTGGCTGCTTTTGAACTAGGAGGCAGGAGAGACTGGGAGGAGCATGGAGGAAGGATGGCCTAGGGGTGGGGAAGGGAGCTTCCTGCTTTCAAACCTGGGGGTGGATGAAACTAACCTTGAGGTTCCAAGACCTGTAGATGAGTTGTGAGTTCTCAGAAGCAGCACAGGCAGAGCATACAGAGCAGCAAGAAGACACCAGCAGAATTGTTTCCAGACTTGGAGCTGTGTGTCCTGGGCAAGGAATCTTGTTTTCATGATTTGACAACTCAGGCCTGAGGCTGAATCTATGAGTCTTTCACATCCCCCTCAAAAAAAAAAAAAAAAAGAAAAGGAAAGAAAAAAAAGAAAAGAAAGAAAAGGCCGGGCGGTGGTGGCTCACGCCTTTAATCCCAGCACTTGGGAGGCAGAGGCAGGCGGATTTCTGAGTTCGAGAGTTCGAGGCTAGCCTGGTCTACAGAGTGAGTTCCAGGACAGCCAGGGCTACTCAGAGAAACTCTGTCTCGAAAAACCAAAAAAAAAAAAAAAAAAAAAGAAAAGAAAGAAAAAGAAGGAAGGAAGGAAGAAAGAGAGAAAGAAAGAAAGAAGGAAAGAAAGAAAGGAAGGAAGGAAGAAAGAAAGCAGGCAGCTTCTGGAGTACCTGCTGCAACAATAATCCTTATTTTTAATTTACGTATTTTGAGACATGATCTAAGTCATTCTTTGGCTGGGTTTAAATTCAGGATCCTCCTGTCTCAGCCTCTGAATTCTGGAATTGCAGGCCTATATTACTCTGCTGACCAGTAAATTATTTTAAAAAGAAGCAACAAAGGGCTGGAGAGATGACTCAGAGATTAAGAGCCCTGGTTGCTCTTCCAGAGGATCCAGGTTCAATTCCCGGCACCTACATGGCAGCTTACAGCTGTCTGTAATTCCAGTTTCAGGGAGTCCAGCATTCTCACACAGACAGACACACATGCAGGCAAAACATCAATGCACTTTTTTTTCTTTTTTTTTTCTTTTTCTTTTTATTTTTTTTTTATTTTTTATTTTTTTGGTTTTTCCAGACAGAGTCTCTCTGTGTAGCCCTGGCTGTCCTGGAACTCACTCTGTAGACCAGGCTAGCCTCGAACTCTCGAACTCAGAAATCCACCTGCCTCTGCCTCCCAAGTGCTGGGATTAAACACGCCACCACCGCCCGGCATAAATCATTAAAATAAAAAGCATGCTAGCTCTTGGGAGATAGAAGCAGGTGGAGCTCTATGAGTCTGAGGCTAGCCTGGTCGACATAGTGGGTTCCAAGTTCTAAGATAGAACTACATAGTAAGATTCTGGCTCAAAACAAAAATAAACCAAAACAACTAAAAAGCCCTGTATATTGATAATCTGTAACTCTAGCAACTGTTATATAAATACATGGCAGGTGTGTTTTGTTTTAAAGCTTGAGTTCCTGTAATCTTAGACCTCAGGGTAGAGCAGCAGGAAGGGATCAAGGGCAGTTATGTCTATATGGTGACTTTGAGGCTAGCCTGGGCTACCTGGGACTCTATCTGAAAACACAGATCAAGCAAATGATCGGACAAGAGAAGGGAACTAAGAGAGTGGGGTGGATGTAGGATTCATAATAAAAATGCTGGATGGATGCTATCACTGGCTCTGTGGAGGCTCAGGGCCACTGAGATCCAGGAGCTGGCAGCGAGACTGGATTAGTTTCTGGGCCAGGCCCCATTTCCTCTGTTCCTTGGGCTCTTTATTTCAAGTGAATAATTTCTGGAAAAAAATCCTTTAAAAAGTGTGTGTGTGCATGCACACACACGAGTGTTTTACCTGTATATATATATATATATCCCGCTGTGTACACCATGTGTGTGCCTGGTGCCTGTGAAGGCCAGAAGAGGACATCAGGTAGGCTCTAGAACCGGAGCTATAGCTGTTGATGGTAATCCAACCTGGCTCCTTTGTAAGAACCGCAAGTGCTCTTAACCACTGAGCCATCTCTCCAATCACCTCCTGAAGTCTCTTAAGACTTCATGTTTTGGGATTTGGGTGAAGAAGTGTCATCTTACTCAGGGAGGGCTGAGAGGGGATTATTGGGAGGACAAACAGGTAAACACAGTCCAGCATCCAGGAATTAGAAGCCAGCTATTGATTTTTGCTGTCGGCAGAGCTATGGGAGAGTCCTCAAAACTGTTTGACGGTGCCCTAACTTATACAAAACAGAGCTGTGGTCCCAGTGATTCTGGGCAATAATTATCTGCACTTGACTGATGAAAAAAAAAAAGAGTCATCCAAGTTCATAACTGGTGGAGTCGTTTGAACTTGAGTCCAGGTCCCTCTGACATCTCAGGCACTTCTGGGGCTGCTCTCAGGCACTTCCAGGCCTGCTCTCGAGGGCACCGATCCAGTCTGTGCTGTTGCTTTGTTCTCTTTAAGGTGGTGCCTCACACGCATTAGGCTTGTACTCTCCAGCCCCTGATTAAATCTTGGTTCCCTCTCCTTCTCCCTTAGCTCTGCAGCCCAGCTCCTGCCTCACTCTTTCCCTCTGGCTTAGTCTATGCGGAGTCTTATTTACATGCCAGATGGTAGAGGGGTTTCCCCTGGCTTCTCTTATATGGTTCAGGACTTTTGTCACAAGCTTAGATAAAACCTAAGAGGGCCCTGGGGGCCTTGAGCTCCTGAGATCAAGCTGAGAAAGAAAAGAAGTGAGAGTCTGATCTAGGAGAAGGGGAGGATTGTGTGGTGGGGGAGGTGACAGGCACCTCCTCCTATCACCTACCTTCTTTGCTGCCCTCAGACCCTACTGTCTCAGCTGCTATACCTAGGAGAGGTGTCTGGGAGCCAGGAATGCTGTAGGAGACAGGAGGTCCATGCTGAAGTCCAAGATTGCCCTGCTGAAAACTGGACAAGTGTATCTCCCTTCTCTTGAGAAGCAGCTAGAAAGGCTGAGCCCCACAGCTGGCCGTGTGGTAGTTACTTCCTGCTGGGAATGTGTGCGATAACTTAAACTCCTCTTTTATCACTTAAAAAACATATAGTGCTTGCACGTGTGTGTGTGTGTGTGTGTGTGTGTGTGTGTGGCCATGTTGTTCAGAAGTGGGAATTTGAGCTATATAGGGTTGTGACCACCAGAAATGGTTGCTGGGAATTGAACTCAGGTCCTCTGGAGGAGCAGCAAGCACTCTTAACCACTGAGCCATTTCTCTAGCCTGGATATAAACTTTTTTTTTTTGTAAAGTATCAGTGTGGGGCGCCGGCATGCCACTGTTTGTATGGAGGCTGGAGAACAACTTTCAGGAATTGGTTCATTCCTTCTTCAGTGTGGGTCCCAAAGACTGAACTGGACAACCAGCTTGGCTGTTAGCTCCTCTACCCATCCAGCATTTCACAAACCCCTTAAGCTTAATTTTATTTTTGTATTTTCTAGCCCTTGGTATCAAACCCATGACTGTACACTAAGCATGTGCTCTACCACTGTCCTTCACTCCAGTTAAGAAACATTATCTTGCAAACCCCTCAAAGTTTCCTTTTTGGATTCTGAGATGTGAGGAGTGAGATGTATACTGGGGACATTTGGGGTGGGACATGAGAATGCTGGGGGAACATCTTTAAGGAATTGGACACGAAGAGATGTCTGCTGTCTGCCCATACCCAAGAAGGGAAGTAGGACTTCAAGCCCTTGCCTCTCTTGGCCTCTGAACAGCTACATTCTGTCTCAACAGCATCTGAGTAGACAGAAGTTTGGTTGCCAAACTGAGAGGACTCTGAGAAAGCCCCATTTGACAGATGGGAAAACTGAGGGCAAGGCAGAGGCAATACTAGAGCTACAGGCTAGAGTTACCAATGTGTGTACTCCTCTGGACACTTTCTCTGCCTCGACAAAGCAGGAGTCTGTCCACACACCCCATGCCTCTCACACGAATTGAGACCAAATTCCTTAGAGTGATGGTCAAATCCCCACTCCCTGCCAGCCTTCTTTCTTAGCATCAGACCTCATTTGGTAACACCTTCTACCAACCAGTGAACACCACTTCCTAGCTGGCCTGCATCCACACTTGCCTGTAGCTAGCTGCCTGTGGCTACGGATAACTGGGTTCACTTGAAAGGGGGGCTGGGAATGAAAGGGGGACAGAGGGCGAAAAGAGATGAAGCCAAGACAAGGTATTCTGATCAAGGCTTGAAGTTTAATGGTCAGCTCTCAATATAAAGGGAAAGCCACAGCCCCACCACCAAATCCCTTCTTGCTTCAGCCTGCGTGGGTGAGGGGTATATATCCTTAATCACAGCCTGAGGTGTCTCAAGGCAAACTCAGCAGGCAGTCTATTCTTCTCAGCTCCTGTAGCAGGCTGTGGTGTCACCAAGGTGAGTAACACCTCCTGAGTCCTATTGTTTGGTCTACTGTGGTAAACAAGATCCTTCAGGCCTGCTCAAGCCTGGGGGTGGGGCACAATTCCCCCTTTTTAGTTTTAAAGATGGCAGTGGCAGCAGCTGGACAGGGCACAAGATTTCATCCTGTCTAGGGTAAAGAGTGGCCAGGTGACCGTGCCTGGCTTAGGTTGGCGTCTTTATTGCTCCTATATTACCCATCCTTGAGGAACATACATAGCATATTGATGTAAGCCTCTGTCTTAGGTCTATAGGAACTCAAGAACACTCTTACCCGTCATTGACTAACCGGCCATCATTAGCACACTCTTACCCATATAGACCAAAGCCACATTCAGACCCAAGGACCTGTGGGCATGCACTCAATGCAATTCTTCATAGCGATGGATAACTGTCATGATGAATAGCCGAGCTTGGCAAGAGCGATCCTGTGTGAAGGCAACCTATCTGTTTGAGACACAAGGTTCAAAGGTTAAAAGCAACATGATTATCCAAGCAATGTAGAAAATAAGGTTGAAATCAGAAATGTTCCATTATCTAATCCAACTGCTGGTTAACAGGGATTAGACGCAAGATCTGGCCACCAAGCATATAGTGGGTGGCTTTAAGTATTGATGGAGACTACATGCCAGGTTAAATCAGCTGATAAGGATTTTGAGCCA